TTCCGCATCAACCTCAAGGGTAACCCCACATAGCTTGGAAAGCCGCCCCAGGAGGATACTGTGGTCAATCGCTGAGATATTGAGGAGGCTCAACAAGGACATATTGCCCCTGTTGGCCTCCAGCAGGAGGTCATCCTGAAGGGCAACCAATGCTGTTTCCATACCATGCTGCAGCCTGAAGCCCGACTGGAATGGGTCAAGGGCATCCGTTTCCTCCAGAAGTGTCTGGAGCTGATCGGCCACCACCCTCTCAACCACGTTACTCAAAAAAGAAACCTTGGCAATGGGCCTATAATTCCCAATTCCATCCACTGCCAAACTAGGTTTCTTTCAAATGGGCCTAATGAGTGTCTCCTTGATGACAGGGGGAACCATGCCCTCCTGAAGAGACCCATTAATTATTGCAGTGGCTCATTCTGTTGTTACCAGCTTGGTTGCTTTGATGAGCCAGGCCGGACACGGGTATAAAGAGGAGGTAGTGGCACAACTGTGCTCAAGCACCCTGTCCACCTCATTGGACATCACAGGTTAAAAGCAAGTTAACTTCACTGCACTAGACATCTCAGCTCAATCTACTGTATGTAAAAAGGGATCAAGGTCCCGGCGGATGGCCTCCACTTTTTTTTTTTTAAAATGCCACAAATTGGTCAAAGATTGCATACTATATGGAGAGGTTCCACCTGCTGGTTGTGAGCTTCGCTTATCCAGTCAGCGAAAAAAGCTCTTCTAGCAAACTTTACCTTAGCTAGGTAAAGGTTAGATGCGATCCTGGCAGCTTTTAGATTAATTTCTTTTGGGGCCCTTCTCCAAATGCTCTCTAGTCTTCTCTGATTATTGGGGCCCTTCTGCTCTCTAGTCTTCTCTGATTACAATTCATGGCCCTCAGTTGCTGAGTAAACCAGGGAGCTGGTCAGGCTTGGTAGTGGAGAGAGCATTTAGGTGTGATCATGTCGACTGCCCTGGTGGAGGAGGTGTACCATCCATCCATCAGAGCACTGAAAGGAGCACCAACCAAGTCAGCTGGAATCCCCCGCATGATATCTTGGAATCTATCAGGATCCAGTAACCTGTGGGGGTGGACCATCTTAATGGGTCCAAGTTCCCTGCAGGAGGGAAGTGCCACTGAGAAGCTGCGTTTAATTAGGTGGATATCTGACCATGACAAGGGGGTCAACATCAATTTGGCCACCATCGAAGCACACTCTATCTGCTTGACAGCAAAGACCAGATCCAGCATATGGCTGCCCACATGGGTAGAACCTTTGATTTGCTGGGTCAAGTCCAAGGAAGCCATGGTTTCCAGGAACTCATGAGCTGTGCTGGAAACCTCAGCCTCCAGATGAATGTTGAAGTCCCTGAGAACCATTAGTCTAGGGAACCTCAACAGCGCCAGGGAGACGAAATCTGCCAGCTTTGGCAGAGAGTGCGCTGGATCGCGGGAAGTGTGCTATGCCAGGACAAACTCCTGGCCCCAAATGACACATGGACAGCCTCTCCCAAAGTCACTCCTGGCCCCAAACGACACGTGGACAGCCTCTTGACCTAGGCTTGCCACCACAGAGAGCTTGGCAGCTTCAAAGATGTCCTTATGAACAATGGCAACTCCACCCCACCCTGTCTTCCCTGGTGTTGGATGGCATACCAGTTGGGCATATGAGAGAGTAGCTCCTCCCTCAGTGCCCACCCATGTCTCAGTTACACAGGCCAGGTTTGCCCGTTCCTCCAGGATCAAGTCCTGGATGAGTTGGATTTTGTTGTAGGCAGACCTGGCATTTATCAACACCAGGGACAGAGAGGGAGGCTGGCTCGGCTGGTTATCTAGGTTTGTACAGGTGGCAGCAGAGCTAGAACAGGGGACAGATATCTGTTCGCTGTTCTTCTAAGTTTGATCACTCCTGGGAGTGCCAATGTTTAAAGTGTATACCTGCATTTTATAAACTACATCGTGTATACTATAGAAAAGAGTTTTATAGATATCATGACTTGTCAGAAAGATAAGTAAAGCAAATTAAGTGTGGACTCTCACTAGAAGCTAAAATAACCAAACAAAGGGTATTGTACTACAGTGGCATTATGAGAAGACAAGCTCAATGCAAAAGGCAGCAAGGCAGGAAAAAAAGAGGTAAGAAAAGAGGAGGACTGCACATGAGATCAGTGGAGTAAGAAAAGAGGAGGACTGCACATGAGATGGATTGACTCAAAAACAAAAACCCATCATCTGTTTGTAAGACCTTTTGTTTGGTGTTGCAGTCAAATGAGGACCAGGAGCAAAGAGACTGGAAATCAGAATTGGGGAATAAGCTATGATATTCTTGCCTGCTTGGGGGATGAGAAAGAGAGAAACACGATTGCTACACACTTCAGACATCTAGTCCCAGGTGTGTCAGTTGTCTTTTACTAGGTGTTTCCTGTTAGCGTGTCTCTGCTAAATATTCCAGTTCTGCCCAGTTTAATTTAGAGTTGAAACAGAGTCTTGAAATACTTGCTGTTCTCAGAAGAAACGGCAGAGCTAAATGCAATGGAGATTAAATCTGGAAGGTTCCTTTTTTCATGGTTTTAGGAAACAGTCAGTCTCTCTCTCACACAGAGACACACACTAAATTTTCTACAATCAGTTGCTTCAGATCAGTAGGTCCCAGTTTCCTATTGTTACATGCAAACAAGCTTGAGGAATCCACCAGTCCCTCCCTTGTGCCTTCCTTTCCATTTTAATTGGAGCTTTCCTTCCTGCTTGTAGTCATGTCCAGTGGAAGTAGTAATTCACAAGCCAGATTCACTGTTGCAGACTCCACGACAGCAGTAAACAGAAAAGCAGTATTATCTACGATCTCCAAAAGAACTGATTTCCAAGTGCCGCAACCAAGGAAGGTAGCAGGGATAGGTGGCTTATGATCGTGCAGTTTCTGATGTTTGGCTGTGGGTGGGAGTAGCGATCCAGTGATTTATGGCTCATGTGCTGATGGAGAAATCGCTGCGTGCCATCTCTGGCACGTGTGCCATAGGTTCACCATTGCTGGTATAGACCATCAAAGAAAGATCGCCAGCACAGATGAAACTCGTGAAGTATGGTAACATGGGTAATTTATGTAAATGCTAAAAAGTGTGAATGCCTTGATACTACCCTGAGGAAGGCCGTTCCTTTGTTCTCTCCAGTGACTGTGCTTCCGTTGAAGTTCCACACAGAATCTTCAGTTTTGAAGTGGAATGGAGACTGTTTCAGTTGGACCATAAACTTTCATAATGAGGTACAGATTTTCAAGCCGCTATTGATGGTGGACCGTATCGTGTGCCACTGTAAGGTCGACAAATGTTGCTCCAGTTACTTCATGTGTTTCAAAACCATCTTCTACATACCGAGGATGAGATTTAAGATTAGAGCCACACAGCCCTTGTCAGCTTTAAAGCCTGCCTCGTCTGGAATTCAAAGAGGTTCAATTTTAGACAACAGATGGATCTTGTTATGGCTTCCTCTAGTTCTGCTAATATTAAGGCAGAAGAAACTTCATTGAAATCACTTTGGATAACCCCCTGGTGTTTTATTGATATTCTGCATTGGTTAGTCTTCCCTGCCAGGAGCAATTGGTGTGCTATTTGGTTAGGGGTTATATTTCCCGTGTCCGTTGATTTGGATTCTTGTTCACTATTTTTCAGTAGCCTCTAAGCTTCCCGGCTGCTGCTTGCCATGTCCAGCTCTGTCATAGTGTCAATCCAACTAGAGTTTTTGGCTTGTGTAAGAGTTGAGATCAGCTTTCTCCCAGCTTTTACAGTATGTTCACTACAAGTGTGAAATATAATCCAAGTATTGGGTGTGTCTTTCCACAGTGATATCTAATATGGCGTTGGTCCGGCACCCACTTAGAATGGACCCAACATCACTATTCCAAATTCTTACCTTGACTGTCAAGGGGGAATTGAGCCCCAACTAACCTCTGTATTAGAAGACCTTTCCAACCAGCTGAAATTAAACCCTTTAAAAACACAGATCAATCTTTCCTTCTCACAATGTATCCAGAGCAGGACAGACTCGGAGAACTCCTTTGACACAAGCTCTTCCCACATTCCGTGCATTTGTAGGACTGTTTCCTGTGTAAAGTAAGGTCGTTGTTCATAGTGAAGCTTATTCCACATTTCCTGTATTGATATGGTTTCTGCTCATGTGTAAGCTTTCGTGGATAGTAAGAAGGCCACTTAGATGGAAGCTGCTTCCACATTCCATATAGTTGCATGGCTTTATCATGTGATTTGCTCCATGTCTCTGTACGTGCTTTCTTTCATGCATAGAGAGATGATCGTTTCTACTGAAACTCTTTCCACATTCTATGCATTTATATGGTTTCTCCCCTGTGTGAGTTCTTTGGTGTAAACCAAGATTACCTCTCTGACCAAAGGTCTTTCCACACTCCATGCATTCATATGGTTTCTCTCCTGTGTGAGTTTTTTGATGTGAACTAAGGTTACCTCTCTGACTGAAGCTCCTTCCACATTCCAAACATTCATAGGGTTTCTCCCTCGTGTGTCTTCTCTTATGTACAGAAAGATTACTGCTTTCACTGAAGCTCTTTCCACATTCTGTGCATTCATAGGGTTTCTCCCCCGTATGTGATCTTAGATGAGAACGTAGACTTGATCTCCGACTGAAGCTCTTTTCGCATTCCACGCATTCATAGGGTTTCTCCCCCGTGTGAGTTCTTTTATGGGAACTTAGATGACTGCTGTGACCAAAGCACTTTCCACATTCCTTGCATGTATATGGTTTCTCTCCTGTGTGTGTTCTTTGATGTGAACTAAGTCGACTGCTATCAATGAACAGCTTTCCACATTCCATGCATTCATACTGTTTCTCCCCTGTGTGTGTTCTTTTATGTACAGAAAGATTATTACTGTCACTGAAGCTCTTTCCACATTCGATGCACTGATAGGGTTTCTCCCCTGTGTGCGTTCTTAGATGACGATGTAGACTTGATCTCTGACTGAAGCTCTTTTCACATTCCATGCATTGATAGGGTCTCTCCCCTGTGTGAGTTCTTTTATGTGAACTTAGGTGACTGTTTTCACTGAAGTTCTTTCCACATTCCATGCATGTATAGGGTTTCTCCCCTATGTGAGTTCTTTGATGTGAACTCAAGTTACTGTTATGACTGAAGCACAATCCACATTCCATGCATTTATAGGGTCTCTCCCCTGTGTGAGTTCTTTTATGTGAACTTAGGTGACTGTTTTCACTGAAGTTCTTTCCACATTCCATGCATGTATAGGGTTTCTCCCCTATGTGAGTTCTTTGATGTGAACTCAAGTTACTGTTATGACTGAAGCACAATCCACATTCCATGCATTTATAGGGTCTCTCCCCTGTGTGAGTTCTTTTATGTGAACTCAAGTGACTGTTCTGACTGAAGCTCTTTCCACATTCCATACATTTATAGGGTTTCTCCCCTGTGTGAATTCTTTGATGTCTACTTAGAGTACTGCCTTGACTGAAGCTCTTCCCACATACCATGCATCTGAATGGTTTCTCTCCTGTGTGTGTCCTTTGATGTAAAAACAGAGTACGCTTCGCAGTGAACCCCTTTCCACACTCTATGCATCCATACAGTTTCTTTCCTGCCTCAATCTTTTCATATGAAGCAAGATCAATTTCCACAGGGAGGCGGTTTCCACCTTCCCTGCAATCCTTTATTTTCTCCAGTGCATGGACTCTGCCCTGTCTATCTTGGTCCCAATTATATTTGAATATCTCCTCAGGGACAGAATGCTTTCTCCTTTTTGTTTCCTGGTCTTGCAGAAGAGTGGGGAGTTGAGGAGCATCAGCTGAAGATTTCTCATTCCCATTCTTTAGTTGGTTACCTCTGTACCATTTCTCTCCCCTCGATTTTCCATACCTCTGTTTTCCTGCTTCATGATCAATTCTTTCAAAGGGCTCCACAGACAGACCTGGGTTGTTCTCACCGTGCTGTTCATCATCAGTTTCTGAAAAAAGGAGGACACAAATCCTTTAGGGAGTTCTGGAGGGGGAAATGTCCCTTCAGAGTTCAGACCCACATCCTTAGCTCTGTCTGCTCCCTGCTTTGGGGGAAGAATCCTGATATCTATACCAAGAAAGAAGTGCTGATACTTTAACCAACATCCTGTGTAGGCATCAACATGGATGAAACACTCTGAGTTCTTCCTAAAGTAGTCAGAGACTCAAATCTGTCTGGCCCAAAGGTGAAACTTCTGCTGCTTTTGAAAAGCAAAGTCTGCTGCTTATATACTGCCCCCTAAGACTTAAAGTATTCTCTGGGCATTTTACAACTTAAGTATCCAAGCTACACATTGTGCTACAATGCTGTTTCTTAGAGTGAGGCAGAGCAGGACCAGACAATGCTGCACATCTGCTCCACACTGAGACACCTGAATCATCAGCTGCCCCAGAAGGAAGATCTCTCAAAGATGTGAAAGGATGAAATAGAAGTCTCAATGTTTCGATGCATGTCTCAATACATGTCTCAATGTTTAAAAATTTGTTTTACCAAAAGATACAGCCTCTCCAACCATAGGGAAAAAGGACTGCTTACCAAGAGTGTACAACATCCAGCAGATCTCCTCCGTGACTTCTCTGTGCAAAGCCTTTTGGTCCGGATCCAGCCACTCCCACTCTTCCTCTGTAAAATGCACAGCCACTTCCTCAAAAGTCACCGGGTCCTGGAAGAAAAAGGGAAACGATCCCTCTTCCCAGAGTGACCAGACGGGACGGGTTGGTAGAACGGACGAGAAGGAAAAAGAGGAGGGACCATGGCTTCCACCTGCCAAGGTGTGAAGGTGGGGAATAAAGCATCCAAGTGGCCTCCCACCCATCTCCCTAGCACATCTTTCCCCTACCTGACCAGGTGCCACGATGTTGGTGGTTTCTGCTCCACCCCACACAAAAGGAGTCTGAAGATACATTGCTGGCATCTTCCCGTCACCTGCGAGAGAAAGACCATAAAGGAATGCTCAAAGAGACTACAACTAGCACGCCTTTGGTGAGAAGCCAACACCGAGAAACCTCTCTTGTTTCCAGTCTTATTTTTCCCCCAACCAATGATATATTGATTTTCAGGGTGTGTTAAAGCTTATCTTTCCCCCTTCAGCTTCTTAGTCACAAGTCAAAGGCTTGGTTTCTAGTCGCCACCAACTCCCTCAACCCTTCTTTATAGGCTTTGGTCTTCAGACCCTTCCTTATCTCTGTCGCCTGCCTTTGGACTCTTTTCAACCTTTTTTGAATGAGAATCTGAAACTTCCTGTCAAACTGCGATGCCCAACAGAGGACTCA